GTCACAAGCACTCAAACTTTAAAATAAACATATCTTTCCATGATGTATATAATAATTAATTTATTAGTAGTTATAGTCAAATAACTTTGAATAAAAGTTGCCCACAAAATGGAGAGACAAACACATGCATTCTCCAAAAGCTCTAGCCCTGAACACAAGGAGAGAATGTCTCATAACTAAACAGAGGCAAGCTTGCAGCTGATTAAACAGAAGATGCAGGTACATTACTGGAAAAATGTGAGGTGCACAGCAAAAAAACCCCAGCATCCTAGAATGACTGGTTTTAGTATGAAAATCTACTAGAGAACATCTCTTTTTCCAGATTTATGTATCATTTAAATGCCTACCCTTATTCCTCCCCTTTCCTTCTCTGTGACTTCCACAAACATTTGTTTGCACAGATTCCTTCTATTCCTGACAAAAACCTGCACAGCGCTTTTGTATTATACAGTAATATAATTAGATGCGTGGGTGCAATAGGGCCAACTCACTTCAAAAATCAGAACAAAGAAATCCTGGGGCACCAGGATGGTAGATTAAGGTCTGCTCCAGTTGGGAGGAAAAAACAGTCTCAGGGCTGTAGTCAAATGTCAGTCTAGCAACCAGAAACTAAAACTGGCTTGAATGTCCCTTCCAGATTATCCTTAGTAAAGCAGTATTCAATTCCATGTTGAACATAACAAGAAGCTGTTCTGTGAAGATTTTCAAAACCTGCATACGGTAATGCCTTTGCTTCAGAGCTAAAGAAGGGAGTGCTTAAAAAATGACTTCATCCTGTTTTCAAAGTTTCACAGCAGCTGATGTGGTTTGAGCTCCACAGTGCGCATCTTACTTCAAAATCCTTTCAGTTAAAAAAATGAGCAGAATACTTATGCATATTATTCTCCACTTATATGGAATAGTCTATCTTTAGTTATTCTGAGATATGTGATATTTAACAAACACAAGATCTTAGATACCGGAACTAGCTGTGTAATGTAAGCATTGTGCGAGTTTGCTGGACATAGCAACAGCTATACTTCAACCTAATGCATCTGCATTAAAAACAAGTCTGCTTCTCCCTTTTGAAAGATTCCCAGTTTATGATCTCTAAATTATGCCATTGGGTTTTGTAAAATCTTCTGAGGAATTTACTTTCATTGTGCTGAGGGGTACCTGAGAAATTATTAATTCCCCAAATACATAGTTTTAAATAATGCTAAATACGACTAGTCTACAGGCATCACTGCTGACCAGGCTAATCATTTTAATGTATTCATGTATACAGATTGTGTGTGCATTTAAACACAACATTTGCACCAAATGTTTATTGTGTACTACAGCATTAAAAGGCCAAAAGTAGATAGGGGGCAGAAACCCTGTCTCAGCCAGTACGTACTAGGAACAATTTGTAGTGAAATATTAATTCAGAGGGGACGTGGGATTTGATATAGACTGGAGAAGCAATCCATGGCATTAATAGGACGAGACGCTATCAATTTGGCAGCCTGGCATCTAGGAGGATTGCAAGCAATCTCTTGAATATCAAAAGGGGGTCCTCAGATTGGCTTCAAATTAAGTTGTGATATTTCCTCTCTCTCACTCTTTCCCTCCCTCCCCCCTTTCTCCCTCCCCCTTTCTCTCTCTCTCATTTATTTGTTTGTTTGGCTTAGCTTATTTCTGAACTAGACCAACATAAAATTGCAGCAACCTCACCCTATCTCTGGAAGAAACTGAATCCTAGAGCTTATTAGCAATTCAAAGAAACAAGTTTCCAGAACTTGAAATGAAAAATATTGATCATACCACAACCCTAAAGAGAGGCTCCTTGCTGGAAGATAGAGAAGAATGCCAGTTACTAGAAAAGCACAGGTCACTTGTTCTTGGAGATTCAGTGAAAATCACACATTAAAGCTACTAAATATATTATAGAACCATTTTTGCTAAGGAGGCATCCTGAATCCTACAAAGTCAAGTTCTGCCTTGAAAGAATTTATGGTGTCAAGCCTGTAAATACTTGGGATTTTCAAATATCCCTCAAAACAAGCAAAGAAATAAAGCTCCCACTGAGACATTCTGAGCATCTAAACAGCTAGCTGCTTTGGCTTAAAGAACCTGCTTAATGCCTTATCACAATTCTGAGCCAGGTAAAAATTAGTGGCAGCAATGCAGGACGAAACTTGCATATAAAGCCGACAGTCTACTGCACCACAGGAGCTACAGAAGAACGACTAGCCAGCTATGTACAGCACTGGAGTTACTTTAATTCTGTCCGATACTTAGCTCAAAGCTAGTTTTCACAGGGTTTTCCCCTCTTGCCGGGAGAGCAAGCTGTCTGTGCAAGCCCCACCTCTCGGCTGACAAGCACTGACACTCGGGATGCTTCCAGATGCGACTTCCATCATGCGCTCCCTTCGCCTCATGGAACACCACAGAGGCAAGATGAAGACATCTTCCACTTGCAACCCTCCCGTGTTCTCCTGCCACTTCTTCCAAACCTTTCTTTCTACAAAAGAATGTGCCAAGGAGAAAAAGGTGAAATAACATTTGCAGCACTACAAGCTCTCTGCCTGGAAGCACCTTCAGAAATATCCAGCTTGTCCATCTGTCAGGCAAGTAAGTACAGGCCACCCAGAGGCACCTGCTTGTCCATCATGGGAAACGAGATGCTGGGCTACTGAAGCCTTTGGGCATGAAAGGGCCCTCTTACCTTCTGATCTTTCTACAGACCTATCCCAATCACTCCCCAATCAATTTGGTGTCCAGATCAAACCCGGAACTTCTGCCTGCCAGTCAGGCACTCCTGCACTAACCCTGGCTTCGCACCATAATGATGGGGCAGAGGAAGAAGCAATGCACATACAAAAGGCACAGCCCAGTCAACCATCCAGACAACACTTCAGCTACCGCAAGAAGACACAAGGAGAAGAGAAAATGCACCTGCCACACAAGCATCCCACCAGGAAAGGAACTCAAGCTAGGGCTCTGGAGCCGCACAACCACCAGCCATCCCCCAGCCCACAAAGCTGCCGCCCCTAGAGGTGCCAGGGGAAGCTGGTCAGGAAGAAAACAATGGGGGCCTCGAGCCCTCCAGAGCTGGTTCTGGCCACTAACAAGGCCCCTTCTGAGCCACACAGCCACCCTAGCAATTCCTCTCCCTGCCGACTGAGAATGGGAATTGCAGCTGAGCTCCCCTCGTTGGCAGAGCTGCCAAAAGCCTGCCCTGCTCTGCTCCTGGTGCAGTTGTTCTAAACTCCCACACACACACGTGAGCATGTGTGTATGTGCATGCGCACACGCAGACAAGCTGGTGGGCATCTTTTCCATGTTTTCATCCCTAAACGGCCTACTGGCATTTTCCTTCTTCATGTGTTTTACCAATATCAAGACTGTTTTTGTCTAAAGCCTCTAGCCTGCGGTAGCAGACATTCAAGCAGACCCCATATACCTACATGCTCAGATAACATCACTAGCTTGTATCAGAATGGACTGGAAAGACCTTGAGCAGAGAAGGGCTCACATCTACAGCATGCCCTTCTTAGCAACTTTTCCAAGGTAGGTAAACTGGAAGAGAATCAGCCATTCCAGCAGCTTGTGAGAGACTAAATTAAATTTGTGAAGTAACTCAGAAGAGACCATTTCAGTTAGAACCAAACAGACCTTCTATTTTTAAAAGGGTTGCAGGTCCATGACAGCCCTTATTTCCTTCACTCTCTGCTGCTTAACATTGACCAATCGCTAAGTATTTTATCAGTCAGAGGAAACAATTTCAAAATGTTCTTTGCCACATATCTGAGATGCCCATCTTGCCAGCACACTTATAGTACAATCCTCTATGTTTCTACTCAGAACTAAATCCCCTTGAGTTCAACTCAATCCTTTGCAAGCTTATTTATTTATTTAAAACATTTATATGCCTCCCAATTGTATCACAATTGTATAATTGTACCACAATTATATGCTTCCCAATTGTACCCAATTGTACCACCTCTGGGTGGCTCACGACAGTAAGTAAGTCCCACAACCGTAAGACTTGAAAGTAAGTCCCACTAGGGATTACTCCTCATTCACCACATAACTACATCCCTCATTCAGGGTCTTTAATTATTTAGGCAGCTAAAATTGTTTGCCACAATGAATAACAATTCCCACCAATCTGAACAAGAGAATTAAATGCATGCTCGGCAGTACGCTCCTATGCACAGACAGCAGAGAGCGCTCTTACAACACAACACCATATATGTGTGCACAGAAGTACCACCAAACTTACTCCCAGGCAAGAGGGTATAGCAGTGTAGCCTTACTGTGCAGCCCTATGCTCATCTATTCAGAAGTAAGTGTATGTAGGATAGCAGCCTTTTAAATCAGTGCACTTTTAAGTGCACAATACCCGATGAAATGCATGTACCAAAACACAAGTGTGTTCCTCTTATTCACCACCTTATTTCTTGCATTGTGTCTTGGCAGCATCAAGACAGCTTCATGCAGGGCTGTCCAAAAAAAAAAAAGGAAAGCCCTCTGATTATTTGGCACAGCAGCAATAAAATTATTCAATTAAAACTGTGAGAGTTTAAAGACCCACATTAATTAATATGATCAATATAACTTAGATAAATTTAGACTTCAAGAACACAACACAGCACAAGCAAGACAGTCATTTCAGAAAACATGAGTTACTATGTTTGGCAGAGAAACACAGAACTCTGATGCCTTCCAAATTCTTTTCAGAGTAAAATTCAAACTCTGTGGTTGAGCAAACTGTATAAGGGAACTGGGTTTATTCTTGTTATTACTACTGTTGTTATTATTTGGTTGTTCATGTCAGTTTCAATTGGCACTTTTAAGAAATGTTGTAGTTGTAGTTCAGGCCTTTCACCACAGTCAATTTCACAGGAACAACCACTGATTTCACAGGGTTCACTGATCATTTATGAACTTCCTGCAGCACAGGATCAAAAACAAGAACCTACAGCACAACTGTAACCTTTAAGATCAAATCATCCTTTTGGGTTGGATGGCATCTAAAGTAGACTACTGGGGGTGAGAGGGGTAATTTTGTCCAGTGAGATGTCTCCTTCGCAGTCCAGTTGACAGATGGAGTCTGTGGCAACCTCACGATCCGGTGAGATCTGGGACATCCTGTCAAAAGGATCTTCCTCACCACAGCCCACCACATTGGGGATCATGTTGACACAGGTGGTGGCAATTTCCCTGTGGAAGAGTGTGTCTGGATTGTAAGAGATGAGCTCGTTGCTGATGTTGACAGTCTCCACTGGTGTGCTGGAGCAATGCTGGCTACAGCCCAGGAGATTGGAAAAGACCTTCCTGAAGTCGGCATTGAAAGCGTAGATAATGGGGTTCAGGGAAGAGTTGGCCCAGCCAAACCAGACAAAAACATTAAAAGTTGTGTTGCTGACACATGGTAGGCCAGCTCCTGGGTCACTGGGGGGACTCTCACAGAAAGGCACCATGCAATTCAGGATGAAGAAGGGCAGCCAGCAGCAGACAAAAACCCCCATGATGACGGAGAGGGTCTTGAGGACTTTGGTTTCCTTCCGGATGGAGGACTTGAGGCAACGGTGGTGTTGGAGGTGCTGAGGGCAATCCAAGCGCACGCTGCTGTGACAGCTCTCAGCATGCTCCGCAGCCCTCTCCAGAGAAGAGATCCGACGAATCTGCACCTGTGCAATCCGGTAAATGCGAGTGTAGGTGACTATCATGATGGCCACAGGGATGTAAAAGCTGATCAGGGAAGAAGAGATGGCATAAGTCCTATTCAGGCTAGAATCGCAGTGCTCCGCTGCCTCCACCCACAAAGTGTCATTCCCACGACCATCGGGACCCGCTGTCCACTTGCTGCCCAAAGCATCAGCCCATGATGTGACGCTATCCGCACTGAAGCCTGCTGCCAAAGGGATGGTGGTGACGGGTGGGTCCCCACCCTTGTGCCAGTTGAGCTGGACCGGGATGAAGGAGATGAGCAGCGAAAGTGCCCAGGCCAGGCTGATCATCACCAAAGCCACCCTCTGGGTCATCTTCCTCTCATACCTGAAGGGGCTGGAGATGGCCCAGTACCTGTCCACACTGATGACACACAGGTTGAGGATGGAGGCGGTCGAGCACATGATGTCGAAGGCCACCCAGACGTTACAGAACGCGCCGAAGGGCCAGTAACCCGCCACCTCGGTCACTGCCTTCCAGGGCATGACCAGCAGCGCCACCAGGAGATCCGAGACGGCCAAAGAGACGATGAAGATGTTGGTGACTTTAGCGCGCAGGTGCCGGGAGCCCAGGATGGCCACGCACACCAGCACGTTCCCCAAGAGCGTCCACACCACCAGCAGCGACAGCAGGCTGCCCGCCGCCACCATGTGCGCCACCGGGGTGCCGGCAGAGGGGCCGGCGGCTTCGGCCGCGGAGTCGGTCGTCGCCGTCGCCGGCGCGGGCAGCCTGCTCGTGGGCCGCAGCGTCGGGGCGCCGCCGGTGGGCGCAGGCAGAGTGGCGTTCTGGCTCCAGGGCGCCTGCAGCATGGCCAGCGGCGGTTCCCGCGTCTTCCTCCTCGCGGAGCGGGCGCAGCCGCAGGGACGCGCCGGGCAGCCGAGGCGTCTTGCAGCTCGCAGCGCGCCCCGCTCGGCCCCATCGGTTCCCCGCACCAGCCCGGCAAGTTCGCCCGTCAGCGCCCTCGAGCGCACCTGCGTCCGCCTGCCCGGGGCTGCGCCCTTGCCTCGCTGCTGCCCGCCCCCTGCCGAGACGCTGGGCGCTGCCCCGCCCTCCCCGCTCGCCCTCTCACGGCTGCGCCTCCGCGGAGCCCCCTTCCCTGCCCGCGCCTCGCTGGCACCCGTGGGGCTCGCCCAGGCAGCCGCCCCGCGCTCTCCCCGGGCCCCGGGCCCCCCTCGCGGGCTCCCGCACTTCCAGCTCGCTGGGCGCTGTGGGACCCGGCCCCCGGCGCTTCCCGCGGCCCGCCCTCCCGCCGCTGCGAGGCCAGACCTGCTGCACGCGGCGCCCTCCCGCCGCCGGCTCCCTGGGATGCGCGCCTTCCTCCCCGCTGCCTGCCAGGGCTGCCGCCGCCTCCCTCCCCCGCGCTCCCGCGCCTCGAACCACGCTCCTCAGAGTCACCGCGTGCAGGTCCATCGCTCCGCTCGCTCTCTCACTCGCCCGCGGCCGGCAAATCGCGGCGGCCGCGGCAGAGGCACCTGCGCCCTGAACTCGGCGCGGCGGGGACCGTTCTCGGCCAGCCGCTCCATCCGTTTACTGTCTCTCTCCGGAAAGGGGGAAGCGCAATCAGAAGCATCACGGGGACGAAGGTTGGAAGCCGGCCTTATGTCCCAGGCACGTCACCCGCTTTCCAGTCACTTTCAACAAAACGAAATGAAGCAGAAATCCCCACACAGGATAAACCAGGTTCTTCAGCGCCTGCACGGTGAGACACACCTAGCAATGCCCGATTCGGTGAGGGAGAATGGTGAGAGGAAAGCATTCTGCACGTGCATGCGAGAAAGCTGGCTGTTCAGATCTATGAAGGCACGGTGGTCTGCCGTGCTCGGGCCAACAGGGCAGGTGCATTCCGATATCCCCCTCCGGAAAAGCATTTGGGGAAATCGGCTTGCTGCAGTAAAACTCTCCTTCAGAATCCAAGGCACTCAGCAGTCCCTCTACAGTCCATCCTCTCTTTCCCTGAAACTTCCTCCTACTGTCCTCTTGAAGTAACTCAGAGCCAGCATCTGAGCAGCGGAGAGTCAAAACTCCACTAAGCCTGGCACTGCAGTTTTGTGCACCATACAGTTTGACAAAAATGATTTCGGCGCTCTGTTAAGGCAACTCTCTCATGGCACGGAGGCAGGGAGATTAAACGTGGAAAGAGCCTCTGACAAGTACAAGCACTCTGGCTGGCGTGCAGCATGCATGCTTTGCATTTTCTGATCCTGAATGGTGTTCAGTGACAGGCAGAGATGCAGTTGACTGGAGGACGGAAAGGAATAACATGAAAGCTGCTACAGAATGATTCGGAATGGTCCAAGGATCGCACATGCCAATGGCGTGTCTTAAAAAAATCTTTCTGGCAAATCTTGGGGCACCTGAATTTTACTTCTACAAATCTATGAACTGGCTAACTCCCAGAGGGTTTCCACTGGAAAGGCAACCCTTTGTTGTGATAAAGTTAAACAGTTCTGTGATCAATGAGCACTTGCTCCAGTGCAACCTCACTGCGACTTGGAATCCTATGTAATTGGAAGCAGCAAAGATGCGAAGAAAATAATAGCAGTACGAACTACTGAGAGCAGAGCAACCCCTACAGCCACTCCCTGCAGCATCCATGGCAACACTGCCAGCACACACTGATCACACAGCAGCACGCTAATTATGCCCCCACATTAGCAATGTATGGGCTGAACCAATCTGCCCATGGTGATGGGGGGAACCCTGTGTTATGTCATCTCACCGCACCACAGCCCCTGCCCCCAGTGAACCTCCAAACAGGAAAAGGGGCCTCGCTGATGCATGTGGCAAAGGCCCCTCACATGCAAGCCTGTGGGAATCCATGCATTCAGCAGCTCGAATCCCCCTTTGCCACACAGATGGCTAATAATTACCCTTTGGGCTGCACAGTCTTGCCCCTCCCCACTCCTTAGCGAGCTGAAATGGGACTCTGCATGTGCCAGAGTGCCTGCCCTGTCGCATATAGCTGGAGGATTCTGATAAGCCCACATCAGCACGGAGTGTTTGGTCAGCAGGAGCAATGGTTGTCATTGTTACTGGCAATATTCTTACACTGCTTCTTATTTGTACAAATCCAAACACAATCAAGCAGTTGAACAACACTATAAATACCAACTCTTGGAGTTTGTTCAAGACAGTCCATGGGTAAGGGAAAGCCAAATGAAGGAGATACATTTTCAATAAACACCTAAAACACACCAGAACTGAGACCTGACATACTGTGGATGGAAGGTCATTCCATGCCACTGCAGAGAAGTGCAGTCTCTGTGTCACCATTAAGCAAACATTCATAGGTCTCTTGCAGATCATGGTTGCTTGGGAGGTTAGTACAGGGGGTGGCGTTCTTTAATATGACCTGGTCCAGAGCTGTGCAGCAGTTTGTTAGCTAGGAGCAGCAGCTTAAACACAGCTTAGTAGCAGCGTGGCAGTCAGGGCAGATCCCTTAGCCCAGGCCTAGTGTGTATGCAGTAAAACTCCTCAGCCAGTGGCCTCACCAGTGCTTCTGCACTAGCTGCAGCTTCTACATTTCACTGAGGAAAACCGGACACCAAACACCTTGCACTAATCCAACCCTGAAGGTACCAAATGTGGTTTATAAATGTATAGCAAATTACCATGTAGTGAAGAAAGAAGAATAATTCTTCCCAAAGAGCAATAATTATGATAGCTGGTATCACTACCATAGCAGGAAGAGCAACATTAATGGTAAGACATCCAACTTCTGGTTTTCCCACTAAAACTCTCAAGAACAACATAACCCCTTTTCTCCTTATATATAGCTCTGTGCTGATGTTGTTCTCTTAAAACAAAAACAAAAAACTTCCCCCTAAACATTACTTTCTCCCTCAACAATTGTTTGTCCTTCATTTTACAATGGATTCAAAATCATCATGGACCTGATAAAACTTCTCAAAAATTAGGGAACTAGTAAAAAGGAAATCAAAAGTTCTTTTTGTATCACCACCAGTCCTGTAAGCATCTAGGACTAGTGGATTTTCAGGAGTTATGAAATGTTGAGGATCTAGAGGTGAGCCCAGCTCTTCTGATTGTCTGGAGATTGAACATTGAAAGACATTTTTGGTCACTGAGGCAGGAGTCAGAAACCGGCTCCCCTCATGCCGCCTTAAGGTGGAAGCCTGAAAGATATTCTCTGCAAGGCCTGCTCAGTGCTAAAAGGCTGCCTGTTCAGAGCTGAAGATGCACAGCAACATGCCATTGCAGGCCTCCACCTCTCCTGATAGCATGCCAGAAAAGCCACCTGCCCTAGTCTCACAGCCCCTCCCAGAGCTAGAGAATACCTGCAGGCTGTGTGTAAAAAAACCAAAAACAAACACCCCCCCCCCCCCCGCACCATCTCACACTTTTCAGAGATGGACAATTTGCAGGTGGTTGTCACATTAGATCTATATAACAAGCACTGCTTGCTGTTGCTAGCTTGATTATTTATAGATTTACCAGCACCATCTCAGATTGTGGCCTGAACACACCTAACACTGCTGTCCTGCTGAAGCTAAGCGATACTCGGTCTGGTTAGTGCTTGGGTAGGAGGAAATCCATGGAGAAAAACAGTGAGGTATAAATGCAACTAGGTAAATAATAAAGCTTCGATTTTGCTTTTAAAGGATATTAAAATTGATTACATTATCTAAACAGAGAATAGAGGAAGGAAGTAGCAGTTTTAAGATATTCATATTCTACCTAAAGCAACATAAGTTCTGTGTTGATCTTGATGTTTTGTGCCTTCTGTCACTGTTTTATGAAGAGTCATCTTCAATCAAGGATGCCTGCATACGGTTTGAAGATAGGTTCACAGCATGGAATGGAAAAAGAAAGTAACAGCTGAGAATAGGCGGAATAGAAGACCTGGAGAGACATTGATAAGGTTCATAGAAGCCTTCCTAGCCCTTTGTCTTTTGGACAAACACAGAGTTCTTTTTACAGCAACACTTTACCCACTCCTGAAAAGCATGTTGTTTATCTCTACAATCATCTCTACACCTGTGACCTTGGCAATATAGATGAAGCAAGAAAGGAAGTGTTTTCTGAAAGATAATCAGTTCCAAATGCTGGTCTCCCAGTAAAACAACACACATGGTAAGTAGTCTGTCTGAATGAGGACAAACAGATAAATACAGCCCATGGGTGCTTCTCGATGACAAGTCCCTTCTAGAAAAAGGTGTTTTTGTGCAGCTGATCCATCTTCTCCTCCATAAAGGATTTTTTTCTGGTGAGAAACAAGACATAAGTGGTGGGAAAACATGGGAAAGCTACAAATTGAAAAGGAGATTTTTGGACTCCCTGTAATCAGCCTTTCATAGCCCACAACCAATGCTCCTGGCTGTCAGACTGGAATCTGTGCTTTTTCTAAAATGTGCTTCACCTCATAAAACAAGTGCATAACAGGTATCCGTCAAAATAATTTTAAAATCACCATCTGAACTTTTCTTAGCGTGCTCTCATACTACTGCAGACACATGTGTAAAAACTCACACTTTTCCCAGAACTGCATAAGTTGAAACCTTTGGTGTTACCTAGGTAACATTTGGAGCCACTCTTCATCATCATGCAGACAGGTAGGTACATGCAATGAGTCAAGAGTCAACTGTGAGTAACTGGAAGATGCACATAGTTCATCAACTAGTTCTTCAGGGGTCCGAATATTCCCAGTAGGCTCCTTGCTATAAATACAAGTGGTGAGCAGCAGCTGTGCCTCTGAGGGTGGATTCTGGACTAATTTGGACTCACTTATACGGCATAGAAATGTTATAATAATAAAATAATAATAATAATAATAATAATAATGATGATGATGATGATGATGATGATGTGGAAAGTATGCAAGGTCACCCAGGTGCACTCATACACTCCGTATGTGCTAACTGGGAGGGATCAGGTTGGACTTAGCAGAAGTCTTGGTATTCCACTGTACCTTAATACCCCACTACCACTGGAAAGCCCCTCCTGGATGCACATCTTAATGGAGACCATGAGGCCCGTGGCATCGGAGCCGCCGTGGCAGCAGCGGCAGTTCTGCAGGCAAGCACCAAGGAAGTGACCCACACCACCGGGTCTGTCCCACCTGCTGAACACTGCACCCCCCACCCCCAGAGCCATCCACTCTGACTGCCCCCTCTGGCCCAAGCAGCAGCCCTCCCAGAGATTGGAAGCAGAGGCAACATTGGAGTGGTCTTTGCCCACTCAAGCAAACGCTTTTCATTCCACTGTTTGTCCATTGTTGTTGTTGTCCTTGTTTAATTAATGCAAAGGCTATTGGGTAGGGATGCCTGAGCACATGCCCAAATTCCCAAAACATGTTTAGGATTCTGCACAGTCACAAGAGACTACATCAACTCAAGTTTATTTCTCTAATCAAAATAATTGAAAGAACCATATTTTCAGATACTAAAATTTCTATTTGAGCTTCATAGAATTCAGAAAATAGAATATGGTTCACACTAAATAAAGCAAGGTTCTCACCTCTTGCATGTTAGTACAACTTCTTGATGAAGTGTGTGCATTTGAGCATTCATCAGTTTATTTCATTTGTCACAGAGAGTGTATTTTTTTGAACTGTCATGTGCTCAGGAGCCTCATTTCAGGCTGGTGCCTCTTTCTTCACAGTCTCCCTTAAGTTTCTTTAAAAGGAGCCTGTTCTACAGGGTTTGGGCCTACTTTAAGCTTGCAAAAGATAGAAGAATCCTAGGAAAGTGATGAGAGATGTAAGAGGCTGTCTTGCACAAAGACCTGACCACCATGCTGTCAGGGGAATATGCTTGTCAGGCTGCACTCTTCAACCTGAAAGGCAGAGGAACAATGTGAGCACCATTAGCAATGCTAAATTTTGAATCTTCAACTAGAGCCCTAATGTAAATATTGCACCACCTGAGCAAGAAGCATCTGTTCACCACTGTATGTGTTTGCCATCTTATTTTAAGCTGGTTCGTACTGCCCTTGTTGGCACACCAGGCCTCCATAATCTGTACAGGCCCAGGAAAGCTGTCTTGCCATGGGAAACATCACAGAATTTATTTTTACCTGCCCAGCTTCATATGTAATGTGGGCCTCAAAGATCTGCCCCAGTATATCTTCTAAAATTGCTTTAAATGCTGATTTCAAAAGAAATTCACTCATGCTCCTGAAGGTATCATCTTTTATTATACTGTTTTGGTCATTTCCCCCCCAACACTTCCCATTTTCCATTTTGGTCCACAGGATATTTCTCCCTACCCTTCAACTTTTCTCTAATCCTTTTCAAAATAGTGCATTCTTCAAAATGTACATATTTACAAAGGCTTATTGCATCTCTCCCTCCCCTCCTCTGTGTGTTTGTGTCTGTGTCTATTTAGAAACCTTGCTACGATTAGCACTGGCGAATGCATTTTGGCTCACAATACAACTGCACCCCAAACTGCAGCATGTTCATTCTCTCTCCAGAGAAGTGAGTGGAATCCATTCACCTTTGCCGGAGAAACTGTAGGAGCAATTCAGGGACATTGTGAGCAGGCACAAAACCTGCTTCTTATCCCTAATGAAACTTTCTACCTCAAGCTTGAATGTGTGTTTAGAGAAGCATAGCTTCAAAGTCACAGGAGGTACTGGTTCCCTTCTACTTGCCACTAGTTAGGGCCCATCTTCATTATGGTGTCTAGTTCTGGGCTCCACAGTTTGAGAAGGATGTAGACATATTGGAAAAGGTTCAGAGGGGGATGACAAGGATGCTCAGGGGACTGTAAACCAACCCCTATGAGAAGCAATTGAAAGAATTGGGTATGTTTAGCCTTGAGAAGAAAAGACCAAGGGTAGATAGCCTAGCAGTCCACAAGTTCTGGAAGGGCTGTCTTGATGCTGGACATCAGGAAGAACTTGCTGCTGTTAGAACAGCATGGCATTGAAGCAATTACCTAAGGGGCTCTCCCACAGTGCAGGCATTCAAGAGGCATCTGTCAAGGATGCTTTCACTGGAGTCCTGTACTGAGCAGAATGTTGGACTCAATAGCCTTACAGGCCCCTTCCAGTCCTACTGTTCTATGGTTCTGTAATTCTATTTATAGATCCCTCCCTTACCATCTGTGTTCATGTCCATTGGTGGGATATTGAGAAGTAGCTTTGGTAAACAGTCACTGGATTGTAATATTTAATCGGCTTTCTACAAAGTGCAATGGTTAAATACCACCATCTAGTGGATAAGAAAAATAATCTATACACATGCTAATTAACTTGCACACTGGTACCTTCATAGTTTTATCATTTTAACCACGTCAAACATGTCAAAGTCACGGAAACTGTGCGGGAGCCTCTGTGTCTTCTTTCCCTCAGATACCATCCCCATGACACTCACCTGTTTCAGCTGACTTTTGCAAGTCTTCACTAACAAAATTGAGTCTAGTTCAGTATTTGAAATGCATTTCTTTTACATTCCTGACTAGATGGAATGGGATGCAATGGGTTGAGGAATATGTCACAGGACTGGGCCAAAGACACTCACAAGCCAACTTTCAACTTTGGTTGTGTGGTGAGGGGTGGGCCCTCCAAATACGGGATCATGGGACATTCATTGCCCGGCTCAGTGCGCTCATCCTTAGCAGTGCTGGTGACAGCAATGCATCCGTGACTGTTTTTACTTTCCACACGACCAATCCTGCAAGAGGTATCAGCAAGGCAGATCACCTCTTTCTATGGCCTGGCCTTCAGTTTCATTATCCCTCCCCTGACACACATGCATGCATGTACATGTGTACACGTGCACACACCGTTCACAAACATGGTGACAGAGCATTTTACACAATGATAATTTTCTCTCCCACAATGCTCCAAAATGATACTATGCCTGGAATATCCTAAACTCAGAGGAAAACAATAGGAAAAGCACCAAGGAAGGAGTTTTGCTATTGTGACTGTCACCTTTGGCAATACCAAATATGTAAAAGAGTTTGAAAAGAACCATCACATCCTCTGTGAACCCACTCCACAAACATCTGAATAATGTCATTCCTCTTCGATTCGTAAGATGTCACTTGGTCCGAAATTCACCAAGTGGTGGTCTGACTGAAGAATTATTACTACTACTACTACTACTACTACTACTACTACTACTATTCAGAGCACTGTCGTCCTCCCCTGCGGAGGTAGGGACTGAACCAGATCCAGAGTGTGTACTTCTTATGTATGCTGGGCACCAATAAATTGAGTCAGTCCTGTGGTTGTTAAGATAGTGCTGCATCCAAAGCCTAAGTAGCAAAGCTCAGAACTAGAGCAACCATCATGGAAGACCTCAAAAACAATCCCAAAGCCAACACCATCTACTCAGCAGATGCTTCTGCATCCCTTTGGAATATGTAATGAATTATTTCAGACCATGCTAATACTTGCCAAATAACAACATCTGGAGAATTACAATCATAATGTTTTTTGGTTTCCTGCCTCTTGGTCTGTTGGGCACATCATCCCATTGCAAAGATGTCCCATTGCTTAGGCTCATAGTGAAGTATTTAAATGCCTTTTGCTTGGACACAGATTTATGCTGGATCAACTGGATTTCCCTGTCATTTCCTTTCACAGCAGACCTCCAAGCCCCTGAAAATATTACAGAGAGAGGTACAACAGGCTGAAAAAAACTCTTTGTCTATAGTCCTCAGATACAGATTGCCACCATGCTCATGTATTTTAATATCTTGTATCAAATATTGTTTGATACAAGATATTTTGCATTAGAAAACAAACTTCTAGCTATGCAGAACAGCCCCCCTTTCAGAATTTCCTTTAACATTCCTTTAACTGCTTTGGGGCTTCATTAAACCCCTGCAGAGATCCGTTGGTTCTACAGATGATCAGTAGCTGGTAGAAACAGGAATTCCAAATTTGGAAGATAGAGTCACTGCACATGAGCCTGCAATGTCTGCTTCTCACAACTGTATTTCATGTTCAGAAATCTCCTTACAAAGATCTAACATGAGAATGTGCAATTACCAGAAGGGCCAAGATGATACGACAAGTAATGCTGAAAGTATATAAAAATGTTTCTTTACCAGTAAATTATTATTTAAAAGATACAGAGCTTATGAGCCTGTTTTAGGAAGAGGGAAGACTTGCCAGAAGAATAAAAACAAGACACTGAGCTCAGGGCAACCAAAGTCAGGTTCTAGATACACTGCTTACAGAGGATGACCCAAAGCAGCAGTCAACATGACCAGGATTTCATGCAGTCAAATTCAGCTACAATTAACTACCATTGTTTTCAAGGGGAGAATTATTAGCACATCCTTTAATCTTTTCAAGTGAAATCAATAGCTCTTTGGACATGGTTGACTTTGGCTAAATTATTTCCAAACATGTGTCAAGACTGTGCCAAAGAGAAGTATGTTGGCCTGCAGAACATACACTTTCCCAGTCTTATGAATCAAAAATTACAAGATCAGTTTTGTTTTTGGAAAAGACTCATCTTAGCTATTAAGGTATCACCAGATGATAGAGCTGGAATGGAAATGAATTTTATTTAGCAATTTCATAAGCAAAATACATGTACATAAAATACATGTAACAAATGCAAAACAATTGTGTCATTAATATTTATTTGTCATAATGAGTGGTACTATGACGGTATCTATCTGTTTCTGTGTTGTAACATGTTACTACAACACAGCTTTTAGTGTTTGTTTATTTATTACATTTTTATACTGCCCGATTATATTTTCTGCTCAACGGATATTTAGATGATGGATATCCCCAGGCAATAGCCACAATTATTAAAAGTCACACTGGTGCACATGCTTAATTCCTTCCTGTTGCAATCAATAGGACTTAGAAATGATTAACACTGCAATCTTGCAACCCCTTACCTGCAAGCTCCAATTAAAGTCAAGATTTACTTCTGAGACAATATGTATAGGACTGTACTATCATTTTCATTAAAAAAATACAATGTAAAATTATATTCAAAATGTATTTTGTTTTCCAATAGTAAACCTCAAACAGTTAGCCAGGACAAGGTTTAATCACATTTTCATTAACTTACAGTGAAATCCTATGTATATCTACTTGGAAATAAGCTCCACTGAGTTCAGCGGACTTACTCCCAGGTAATTGAATCCTTCGGCTGCAAGCCTATACATGCTTTCCCGGGAATAAACCTCAGTGAATTCAGTGGGACCTACCTCTGAGTAAACATGCAGTCTCTCATACAAGACTAGGAGCAAGGTGGTAACATTTGCCTAGACTACTGGGAGAGAGGGATGGATGATGTACAAAGTGTTCCACACAATGAAAGTCTGCATCTTCTTCAGTTTCATTCATTCATGTAATTGCATACTCTACTTTGGGCGGACTTCTGATGTATTCATCTTCTCAGCCAGTCATCCATCCCGACTGCTGTATTTATCAAGGTCATGTTTTGCAACTGACCTCAAAGAGAGAAGCTGCCGAGTGCATCCGGTAGAAAATGGAAAATGGCATGGCAAGGTTAACAACAATAATCCAAGGCTCAAATCCAAAAACCATTTCTTCCAAGCCATTGTCATACTGAGGGCGGCAGCCAAAAGCTGGTGGGATCCAAAGCTATGAAAAAGATTAAAATAAAACCATGAAATTAAATAGAAATTTCTCTGTGCCGGTGAGATTATGCTATAAACACATTTTAAGATATAAAAAAGAATCAATACAAAATTTCTGTTGAAGAATGTTAATTTTGATGAAATGCTTATGCATATATTCATGAAATTCCAGATGTCTTGTATCAAAGCATATTACTTGATAAGCACACATCTCTGGCTTGTTTTTGTCTTTTTTGCTTTCAAAAATATTTCTGGTTCCCTATTTCATTCCCTGCTTTTTTTAAACAATATAGCAATATGGACATACTTCAGATTACTTCACATTATTGAAGAGAAAGACAAAATTCTTATTCTGTTTAGAATACTTGGCCCTGTGGAAAAATATACATGTCTACTTGTGTAGCTGTAACTTCTTTTTTGGTTTTCAGCTATCAGACAATGCCTAATTTCTCCCTCAGTGCTATAAAGTGTAAAGTGTGCATTGGTAGAAAACCCTTTTCTTCTGTTGTTACTGATCGGGGCAAAATACTTAAAATAAAGGACACCCATGTTTGAGGAGGAAGGGAGCCCTGCACAAGAAGAACTACAGAGTGTTTCCAATGCACTGAAGACAGTCAAGGGCAAACTGAAAGGTTACAAATCACAGCAAAGGATTCATCCAGAACAACTCTGATGAGTCTGGGGGCCACTTTCATTCCCCTGACTTGGCTGTGCTCCATACTCCTGCTGCGGTGTTCATGTTTGCTGAGCAGCAGCAGGAAACAAGGGTGGCAACCTATCTACAAAGGCATTTTTTAAAATGCCTTTCCTCCCAGTCATCACAATAGGCAGCACGGGCTGTAGAAAAGACAAGGGGCTAAATGCAGTCCTAGAATCAAAGCTGGCTAAATGCTTCCCTCACAAATCATGTTAGTCCAGGTCTTTAAAAAAAAAAAAAAGATCAGAGCAATTCTTAAACTGTGGCTGGATTCAGAAAACACAATAACCCACACTCAGGGGATATGAGTTGTCACTGAATCATGTACTGTTGTTGAAGCATGGATTATTTTATTGTTTGAACCTAGCTGTGCTAACAAGCCATGGCTTGTTAACCATGAACAACCCATAAAGAGGAGCCATGGCTTGTTGTTGAGTTGCAAATTGCACTTCAACAGCAAACCATGGTTAAATGACAACCCTTTCTCAAACTTATATCATGCTGTCTGAACCTAGGCACTTTCTTTAGTAGGTGGCCTGCTGTAATAAAAATAGAATTAGGCTACACAAACTGTTTCTAGTGGCTGATTTATATATGCCTTTTCATAAGTAATCATATGCCATCTCTGTGCCATCCAGCAAGATCCCATCTACTTTCCTCTTAGTTTTTTGCCCTGCCTTCTTCCCTTTGTATGGTAACTGACATACTTTGCTGGTTTTGTGGGTAACAGAGTTGGCACAAGAAAGCAAGCTGGCCCCTTCTGCTGGATCCTCAACACAATGGATCAAAGGCTACAAATGGCTTCCAGATTCCATGTACATCTCTTTCTAAACCACATATCTAAGGAAAATGGATCTTCTGCATATCACACCTATTACATTGTATGTAATGTGTGCAGTCAAGAAAAATATTTCCATTGATTTCCATGTTACCTAAAGAAGTCTTGTGGCATCCTAAAAACTAAGAAATCAAAGTGTGACTTAAGAACACTTAACTTTCTTGTGAACTGTGTTTAGCAAAGAATGAACCCAAGTATACTTAGATTTGGCCATAAACATCTATTTTAGTTATGATTTAACTGTGAGCAATTGAGCATCAAGTGGGGATTTTCAACCAATCCATCAGCTTCCACATAGGGTAAGATTTAAATAATAAGCTCAAACTTGTACATTTAGTATTTTTGAAGAAAAGGGGGGCACAATGGAAGGCAATGTTGCCAGCTTTCCAGCTGGCTTCTGCAGCTGTGCTTAGCAACTTGATGTGCAGATGTTAGCAGGTGATGGTATTCATGCTGTGGAAAGTTTAACTTGGCCTGTGGCTGGTAGTGTTGAAGAGTTTTGCCTGCTGATTTCTGCATATCAGACTTGCTAAAGGCACAAAAGACAAACCACTTTTCTTTGTTTCTCCGTTGAGATAACTGGCTTTTTTTTTTTTTTTTGAATAATCACTTACTGAAAGGTTACATAAAAACAGGAATACTGCAATGTTCTTCAAGATGCTTCTTTTGTTGCTGACCATCAGATTTCTACTAAGGGGGAAATCAGAAGTGGAAGGACCAAGTGGAGAAGCAACTTGACCATTGTCTTCATCCAGGGCACCACTTCCACTGCTCTCGGGCAGGTAGCTGTTTCCATTGAACATGTGGGGTACCTCTCCATTGTCAGTGCCACCTGTTCCATTATATATTTCTTTGTAGGAAGCTGCAGGGGACAAGGTGCTTCCATTGGACACAGTTAGAATTCGAAGGGTCTTAATATCATCATTAACCTTCTCATGCTCTCGGTGTATGGATTCAATTATGAAGAGGTTTTGAATATATTTCTCAATTATAACAAGTATTGAGAAGGGCAAATTGTACCATGTGTAGGAAGGATGGGACTGAGCACATATAATGGCAAGAATGGAACCCCAAGAAAGGAGCCAAGATCCTGAGGCAGTTCCAACCAATAAGTCTGCATCAAGTTTCCTAGCTGGATTTTTGGAGACATCCAATGATTTTTCTTCAACTCTGTAAATCAGAAGAGCAACAATCCCAGCAGCACACATGAGTGTCAGTACTGCAATCGCATACAAATAAAACATAATCAGTGCTAATTCACTCCGTATTTTTGAACGGCCAATCTGAATCAAATAAACCACTACAATTGCTATTGTTGTAATAAAGACAGCAAGTCCTAAAATGGTGCCCATGGTTTTGCCTTGAAATTTAAACGGTGTCTTCTGCTGATGAATGTGCTCAACTTTCCGTCCAATATTCTTCCACAGCACATAGAGCATTGTGGATGTTAAAATGTGATATTCAATATTGAAGGGATACAGGTAATAGATTCCTTGAGAAAATATGGAGCACAGGGCTGGTGTGCTACAATTACAGTCTGGTGCATGGTCATCTAATTCTAAAAGAAGGAAAAAAGAGACCAGGTTATAAGGGTCTGTTATAAATATTACTTTCTCCAAAATAACCTGTCAAAATAAGCTAACATGAAATCAGGGCCTAAAGTAGATAGGAACAGCAATTTCATTAAATAAATTTCATTAAAATTCTCTGGGCAGCTATTCTGTTACCTGCCCAGAGAGCCTCAGCTATTGGGTAGTATATAAATGAATTAAATAAACAAACTATGACATCACAAGTCCCCTAACTCATTTTATTCATGCACTTGTGCCACAGGTAGTGAATGTTTTCTACATGCAGACTTAAATCTTCATAAAATGTTACACATAAATAATCCCTCCACATAGTTACAAACTCCAGAGAGCATCTCTGATTGTATTGGAAATCTCCAGTTCACAGCAGAAAACATTTTTAACCATATAATGAAATATTGATAGCCACAGACTCTGCATTAGTTATAATGCATAATCCTTAGCTTCTAAAGTGTTTAATGCTTTCACATTATCACAACACCCTTTACAACAACCCTGTAAGCATCATTTCTCTATGATGCAGATGATTATTAAAGCTATGAGGATAACAGTTTGTCAGTTTAAGAAAATGAGACTCTGAACAGGAGAATTCACAGTTGAGACTCCTATGCTCAGTAGCAGTAATAGAGATGTGAGGAATAATAAGGGTTATCTGCTAAAGTAAATGGAAGACCAACCTGTGGGTTATAAAAACTCTTATGTACAATATGGCAATAATATCTGACTAGGGTGTACCAAGAAATGCACAGCTTCTCCAGGGGTTTTGAGGAAAACAGATTTATGCTTACACTACTCACTCCTCTACAGAAGAAAAATGGAAGGATGTTGTAAAGCAGTGGTTTTGCCAAAATCCGTCAGTATGAGTGCTTGTGCACACTGTTGCACTTGGCCAAAATTCAAAACAAAACAAAACAAAACCTAATAGGAGTACTTGAGCATAGGAGCATAGGAACCTGAGCATAGGAAACTGTATATCCTAACAATGTGATACAGCATTAATAGCAAGATATCTAGCTTCTACAGTTTGTCAAGGGGTTCCACTCCATCAGCTGTGTTCCTTTGTGTTATGAATTCTCCATCAATGTAGAACAGTCACAGAAGCCTCTCTGATTAGGGTCTGGGTGTCTGGGTGCAGAGCCACTGAACAGCAGGTTATAAAAGTGAGCCAGTGTGGTGTAGCGGTTAAGAGCATGGGACTGGGACTCAGATGACCTGGGTTCTAGTCCCTGCTCAGCCATGGAGCCAACTGGGTGACTTTGGGCCAGTTACAGACTCTCAGCCCAACCTACCTCACAGGGTTGTTGCTGTGGGGATAAGATGGAGGAGAAGAATGATGTAAGCTGCCTTGAGCCCTTTGTAGGAAACAGGCAGGATATAAATTGAAAAACAAACAAACAAACAAGAGTCTCCCTGTGAAGGACTCCCTGCATGGATATGGGCAAACCACTAACATAATTATGGTATTAATAAGGACAAGGATACCAGAGAAGAAAACAGAGTAAGAAGGAGCATGAAAAGAGAAAAGGATGGGAGCAAGAGAATGAATCCATTCAAAAGACAATAGGCATTTAAATAAAATGCAAAGAAAAAGAGGAGAAAGGAGGAGCAAGATAATCATAGGCCAACTGGGTCAAATTACACAAACATAAGAACTCAAACTAGGGGGAAGAATATTGGAGAAAGAGACAGGAAGGCCACGCAAAAGATTATTCCACAAACCAATCTTTTCCCCCCTTTTTTATTATGGATCTACAAACCAGGACAGTATAACTTCTCAGAATAAGCTGAGTTCCCTTACCTATTGATATATTTCCAAATCCAAGAGTGATTAACCTTTCCTTATGTTCATTGAGTTGATGCTTTGATTCTGTTAACACACCATTTGACCACAAAAGCAAATTTGTAAATACAGAATGGATCACTCCAAACCTAGAAATTAAGTAATATAAATGCACGATTGGTAACAATTTAGAAAACATTGCCATGAAATGTCTTACTCCCATCTTTGTTATATACAATGAGTTGTATCTTAGTCTAACTTAAGTCCCATTCATTTCAGTGGAATTACTCAAAGTAGAATTAGTATGAGGTACAACCCAGTATTTATTACTGGTGCACAAATACAGAACACTTTAGTATTATATGCTGTCCAATCTTTTCTACTTTAAAATAAATATACCAGGGCACACTGTAAGATATCCAAAAAGTGTAACATGGAAAATAATAGTGGTACAAATAATATCAGATTACAGGCTTGTACATCCCTAAAAGGTCAATTTAAGTATTTTAAATAGTAATAAATAAATATTTGCATTTTAATACAGTACAATTATACCAATTTAACTGATTACCAATCTGTTCCTGAGCTCAGTCTAAAGTGCTAAAACTGCTGTTTAAAGTCTTTAAATGGCCTAGCAACAGGTTATTTGAGGGACTGCGTGGTTCCACGTGAGCTCACCCTGACCCTAAGGGCAGCTTCAGAAGCACTGTTCTCTCTCCCACCAAATCAAAAGATCAAACTGTTGGGCACAAGGAACAGGGCTTTCTAGTGCAGCCAGACATTTGTGAAAATATTAATGGGGAGCATTATCATTTCCTCAACCTGCCAGTTTTAAAAAAGGCTTTCTTATCTTGCAAAAAATTAAGAATTATGAAATAATGAATATTTTCTATTAGTATGTTTTCCTGCTGTGCGTCAGTGTTTTAAGAATTTCATATTTTGTTAGCTACATGTATTATTGTTTCCCAATTCCCTGCTATGAAGCCCAAATGATGTCAAAAGGTACCCATCAGTCCCAGCCCCACTATTTAAAATTCGCTACTACTGATTGATCAAGTTTTACAGCACAGTCCTGAGCACACACATTCAAAGTGCATTGAATCTGAACTACTTCTGGATCACGAAACTGTAATATAAGTATTGGGATGTGGACTTCAAAATACAACTGTTTAATGTTATGAACAAATATTGAACTTCTATAGATATAATCACATGACATATGCAAGCTGTGGGTTAATTAATTAATTGATTGATTAATGTGTTGGGTTAATGTGTTGGTTTGTGTGCCATACTTCAGCTGCTTCCATTCTGTAGAATTATCCTGATTGCAGGGCACTACATCACATGCAAACACAGACACTTTGGGCTATTTGTAGTCAAACAACTCAAAAATAAGCTACAATTCGTCCTTATGTTGTCTTTGAGTTGTTTAACTCAAAAATAACATGGAATGTCTGAGTTTGCACATCAGATAGAAACCTACACTTAGGCCAGTCACGGGGTACTTAAGCAGAATAGAAGCAGCCCTAAGGTGGTTTGCAGCCTGGCACATCTTGGATGATAATTTTGGCAATGCTGCTGATGTTTACACTGCGTTGCATTTATATGCCACCTTTTTCCTTTTGTGAGGAACCCATTAATTCATTAATTAACCCATGATTTGCTGCTGTGACAATGCAAATAAAGTTCAGTGAAGGAATGCTGAACCTCTTTCAGCCTGAGGGCTGAACTCCATTGCAAAGAAGCACTAGAAGGCTGAATTCAAGTGGCAAGTAGGGCTGACAGCAAATTGGCAGGGCCAAAATCCCAAAACTTCCAGCACATTTTGCTAGTATGGCTGCCAGTAACTAAGACTTAGGGGGGGTGTTTCAGTCTTTTAGAACATGTGAAAAACTGCACAAGAACTGAGACACCACCAATGGCCTGGAGAAATGTGTGACACCATCTGGGGACCCCAGGCCCGAGGTGCTGTATCCTTGATCCCTACTATGGGCAGAGCATGTTACAGACTTGATTGATTCAACAGTCATTCCCTCTTCCTAGGAAATATGACAAATGGTAGTTCCATGATGTCTTCTTCACAAATGAATCACATGAAGAGAGCTGCATGTATCTAAGGGGAAGGGGCCCCCATTCCCCATGCCCACACATTAGGTATAAACATACTCAATGGGAAAACCTACACAAGTAGACTTCTACATGAGTAGGTGTGTCTGTATTCTGGATGCTCTGTTATGCAGGATTCCACAATTCATAGACATCTATACATATGGGGACAAACACCACATCTATGCATGCCTGATGTATGAACATCATGGAATGAGAAAGACATGACCCCAAGGAGGCCTTGCTCATATGGAACCTCCTTCAGTTATTAATGAATGAAGGAGGCTTAAGCAGGCTAGCAATTCTTAACAGAATGTCTTTTCAGAAACCACAATTTGCAGCATTCTATGAGAAGATTCTACGAAAGTTAAATTAGTGTAAAAAAAATCCCGTTCTTGGGCAAGGTGCTTGAACAGGTGGTGGCTGGGCAATTCCAAGCTCCCTTGGAGGAACTAACCATCTAAACCCATTTTAGTCTGGTTTCAGGCCAGGCTATGAGACTGAAACTGCCTTGGTTGCCCTGTATGATGACCTGAGCAGGGAGAGGGACAAGGGGAGTCTGTCACTGTTGGTTCTCCTGGACTTCTCAGCAGCTTTCGATACCATCAACCATGGTATCCTCCTGGATAGGCTGGCTAAGTTGGGAGTTGGAGACAATGCTTTGTGGTGGTTCCACTCCTACTTGGCTTGCTGATTCCAGAAGGGGGTGCTGGGGAATTGTGGCTCTGTGCTATGCCAGCTCTGCCATGGAGTTCTGCAGGGTTCCATTTTATCCCCCATGCTCTTCAATATCTACATCAGGGGTCCTCAAACTTTTTAAACAGGGGGCCAGTTCATTGTCCCTCAGACTGGTGGGGTGCCGGATACGGACAGGGTGGGACTGGTGTGATCGTGGGTGTGTTCAACGGGGAGACGGGCGCAATTGCGGGTGCGCTCAGTGGGGAGACTGGCATGATCACAGGCGCACTGTGGAAGAGACTGGTGCGATCACGAGCATGCTTGTGCAGGGGAGGCAGGTGCAATTGCGGCCATCTCCCCCTCCTCCCCACAAGCACAACCACTATTGCGCCTGTCTTCCCTGCACCGCGATCATGGCCATCTCCCCACTGAGTATGCCTGCACCATCTCAGAACTTTTGGACTCGCTCGGAGATTGTTTTTTCTGAGCAAGTCCAAAAGCTCTGAGGTGGGCCGGATAAATCAGCATGGTGGGCCAGATCTGGTCAGCGGGCCATATGAGGACCCATGCTCTACATGAAACTGCTGGGAAACATCATCCTAAGGTTTGGGCTGTGGAGTCACCAATATGCTGATGACACCCAGCTCTACCTCTCTTTCACATCTATTCCAGGTGAGGCAGTGGCTGTCCTGAATTCCAAGTGGCTGCTCTGGCAAGGAGCACTTTCCTTCAGCTGGTTCATCAACTGCGCTCTTACCTGGATAAGCAATGCCTAGCAAAGATGATCCATGCTCTGTTAACCTCCCAATTGGACTTTTGTAATGCATTCTATGTGGGGCTGCCCTTGAAGATGGTCCGGATACTTCAGCTGGTCCAAAATAGAGCAGCCAGGATGTTAACAGGGACCAGCAGATATGCACACATAATGCCAGTCCTTTCCCATCTACACTGGCTACCAGTTGAAGTCCAGGATCAATTTAAGGTGTGGGTGATAACCTATAAAGTCCTAAATGGTTTAGGACCTAGTTACCTGCAGTAGGTTATCTGGTTATCACCTTCCCTATGTGCCTGCCCACCCCCTAAGATCTAGGTCAGAGGTCCTTCTTTGGAAGTCGTCTTTGAAGGAGATTAGGAGAGTGGCTACTGGGAGAAGGGCCTTCTCCATGGTGGTGCCCCAGTTGTGGAACATGCTCCCCAGAGAGGTGCACCTGGTGCTGACATTTTATTCTTTTCGGCACCAGGTGAAAACCTTTTTATTTTCCCATAATTTTATGACCTAATTCCTATTTTAATCGGACTTTTATTATAGATGTGATGCTGTGCCGTTGTTGGACCACCCTAAGTCTTTCATGTATAGGATGGGATACAAAAGATTTAAATAAATAAATACTGATGCAACTTGATCTCATACAGATATTCTCACAAACACAAACTATTCTGCATTGAAACTATTCAAAATTATCATTGGCTTTATAAAGGCACTCCCCCCCCCCCCAATTATTCACTGCTTATAATATGTACTATATAACTCAGAAGCACTCATGACACACTGTGAAGTGTACTGAATAAAGGTATTTTGGTCATTTTTAATTTAAAAATAAAACCAAAGTCAGAGGATGATCTCAGCAGTAATCCTTGTCTATCGTGTTCCTAATTAAGGAAAACAACCCCAAACTCAAGCCTGAACTTTATAATGCACTTGGAGTGCTTTAGTGATAGATGGAGCAGAAAATGTACTAAAGGGTTTCAAAACTTGCCCAGCCACTTAAGTTAAGCTCCAGAACTAGGGATACAACTGGCAGCATGCCACTGTTTTATATGAAGATGCCAGCGGAATGAAAGAGTGTCACATTTCACCAAGAAGATAAAGATAAGCCTTTGTTGATGAAAAAAAAGTGTGAGTGTCCTATAGAAATCTCTAAGGCCTCATCAGCATTTTCAAGTATCAGTTCCTTGCTATGAGAGAGTTCTATCATGATTGGATCAGAATAAACTTTGGACTTCACAGGATATATATTTTCTTGCTATGTACAGTAGAAAGTGCATGTAGAAAATTAATACTTGATATACCCCAAAAGTCTTGCCCATTAGGGATGCCTATTTTTGACTTGTTTTTATTGCCAAACCACTAGAACTTATGTTTATCAACTTTCTGTCACTTATGCTTATCAACTTTCATGAAAGAATACCGGGCCATGCTTGTAAACTGATCACTTAGTTTGATATATTCAAGCTCTGGAGATCAAAATAGTAATGAAAGTTTTACGAGGATTTTTTTTTTTTTCTATGTTTGGGTAACTCGTGGAATACAAAATGATCAAGGTAAGGACTAAAGTAGTCTCTTAAAAGAGATGTTTACAGTAGCTGAGATCGAGAAATTCAGAACTATGGTCTCTTTCTCCCCTTCTCCCACCTCCCCGCCACACACACACACCAACCCAAGCCTCAGCATTTTAACAACCCTGATAACTGGAATCAGCATGCTGCATGTCTAAGGCACGCATAAACAAAATAGTGTAATTAAAGCCATGCTGTATTCTCTGATGTTTGTGTTGTGCTGTTTGTGTTGAGAGTTATGCTTCTCTATTTCATCAGAGGAAAGACTGGTCAGCTAGGAAGGTACGTATGTGGAAGCCTGCAGGAGGCCCCAGCTGACAAGAGCTGCCACTCACGAGAATTTTGACACTCCAAGCACCACTCAGAAGGCAGGGTGCATTCTCATACTAAGCGTAAGCGCTGTCTGAGAAGCACTTCTGTGTGAGTTGTAGAGGAGCTGCTGGCATTCAGCCCTCTTTCCCAGAACCTCAAAAGAAACCACAGTTTCTGAAAGGACAGCTGAGCCGCAGAATTCATAATAGAGAAATACCATTGTGCACAAACCAGACATAACTCTACTATGTTCTTAAATGGCTCCAAAATTTGAGTGCATCCTGACCTGTAAATAGAACCTAAATAGAAAAAATAGAAATCTGTGTCTCACTCACACCTTTGCTTTGGGAATTGCCTCGGACTAACATTTAACCCTATGTTATTCCTAATATTTAATTGTTTTGTCCCCCTTGTTTTGTCCCCCAGTAAATCCACACATTTAAATCCATTAATATCCCAAGTGATAAACCCTTTTAATCCTGAAATTTCACTTCAGGATTGTAAGGAAAGCTACCCTGAGATCAGAGTAAACATAGAGACTTAACCATTCTTCCTATCAGAAATGAAGAAAGAAAGTTATTTCAACACTTAAATGTGAACTGTTATTTCTAAATTATTGTTACTCTGATTGATAGCATTCAGAAAAGAAGCATAGATAAGATCCTAACATCTTCAGTATCGGTCATTTCTGAAGTTTGCCACATTTTTCAGGTTAAATATAGAGTAATCATTTATTATGGATAGAGAAGCGTTTTATTCATTTTACCTCTCCAATGTTTTGAAGGACTGGATAATATCCTTTGCATGGCACCACAAGAAGTACACCTAAAAACAAATACAAATAAAATATAATGGGTAATTTGGAAAATATGGTACCTTATTTATTGTGCGTACCAGTGCTTATTTAGTACATTTCTATACCCCCATTAGCCAAAGCTTACCAGTTTAGAAAATGGGTGCCTGCTGTATCAGTGGGATTCTATTTGTGCCACTGCCTTGGCAAATATGCCCACAGATTTGCTAAAACAGGGAAGAACTGAAGATGCAACATGGGTGACTGAAGAGAGCAGCACACTTGGCACCATATTTTTTATCTCTCAGTCCATGTTCACAAGTTTACACCCGGTGCAAAGATTTCCCTCTCATTGACATGGACAAAATTTGAGAATTAAAACTAGTCCCTACATTTCAACAGGTACTCTACCCACACTGCAACAACTGCAGATGGGATGTGTTTAACAATCACTTCACAAGCACGTATGGGGCATCCAGGTGTATGAATTATGTGTCCCAATGACTCTCTATTGTTCATCATCTGCTCTCTGTGTCGCCCCTTCTTCCCCCTAGATGGATACGGAATCCATCCCACACCCCTTTCTTTAAGGCCCATGAGGGAAGTCCACTGCACGACCAGCATGAGTGATTAGGATACGCCTGCAAGTGTGTGCATGGAGTGCTAACATCCTTAGTCCAGGCATGCTCATATACTCTCCTACAAGGACAATCAGAGCAATTATGAGAACAGTGAAGGTTCTGCTAACATGGAGCTGCAGCAGCAAGGGACGCTGCATCGGCGATCTTGCCATCTCATCTGTTAAGTGAGAGGAGCTCTGCTGGACTGGCTGATCAGAAGCCCCGTCCATTTTCCTATTAGGATCACTCCCATCCCATCAATTAAGGCCTTGAAAATGCCGCATATATTGCTTCTGTGTCATGAGGAAGGGGTTGGCAGGGACCACTTTCCTACAGCCACTTGGACTGGCTTTCACTTATAGGATTCTGAAGTAGGGGTGAATGAATCACTCTAATTCCAATCAGTTTCATTTGTATTTGGTCATAATTCTGTTCTGCACAATTTCCACATTCATGTATATTTTTATTCATATGCAGTGTTCCTCATCATAAACATTTGGTTCACAAATTCCTGTAATATATGCATTTTTCTAATTGATTTTTGTACACATCTTTTACAATATATTTCTGTGCAGACTTTAATGCCAAAAACTCCTTTGCAAAATTTCAAGGAGTGTACAATCTGAAAGATAGTGTGTTCACATTATTAGCCCAGCAAGTACAAATTGTCAGTTTGCTACAAATGCAGGCCAAACAGAATTCTTCCCTAGTCTTACTCAGAGGAGGTGGAGGGAACTTGAACAAGCAGTTGCTCCTTGTCCTTCTGCCCACTCAGTTTCCCTGGACCATGAAACCAGCTTCTGGGGAGTAGGAAACACACACCATACTTTCCCCTGTGTCACAAACTCAAGCACCTACAGTCACATTTTTGCATGTACACTAGACATCTGAATGTTCTTTCACCCTGCACCGGAATGGAAATTGCTAAGGCTGTGCTTGTGAAAGTACCTCTGCTGGACATAAATGCACAGACATGATGCACACAAGGGCCCCAGCATGCATACAGACTACCAGCCGTGAAAGGTTGCAAGAAATACTTTCTGTTGTTAGTAAAGGAATGGTCAGTTTCCCTTGCAAAAGCTAGTCAGTTGGTGATGAGAGAGAGGGAAAGCAGGAGACGAAGCAAGCTGAGCATCATCCTTGGAGGAGAAGAGAGACTCCTAAGTCTCATTCCCTGTCCATAGAGACCCATCTAGGTTCAGTCCCTTGAACTTTTATCCTACATAAATTTGCCCCATCTTGACAGAAGCCCAACTTTCTGGATGTTCCCTCCTTCCTTCTCACAGCAGGCAGCAGAGGTGCATGCCTGCTGATGTGCTGATGTGCATACTATGTGCTGATGTGCATACTATGATGGCAACTTTTCTAGAGTTGGGGGAGCAGTAAATCCCTCCTCCTCTTTGATGATGCCACAGAAATATCCTTGTGTGTTGCTGCTTGAAGGACAGGGATTCCTGTTCAATTTAATACTGCCACTGGGCAGGAAAGTATGCGATCGAATTATATGTAGGAGTGTGGTGGCTCTCAGTCCTGGGCTGAAAGACGGGATTGTTTCTAGCCACCACAAGTAGACAGCAGCCAAACTGCAAAGACAAATGCATTACATATGACCTCCCTAAATGTTCTGGTGACATTTACTGTATAACCAGATGTGTACCTGGCAATTTATTATGTTTGATCTTTTTAAAGCAAAGAAAGATAAGCAACAAAAGCCTGAGACTAAAGGGGCATGGGAAGCATTACAGTCACAGAAGGAGTTTGAAGGAAGACTGGAAGCCTTTGTTTAGTTTTGCTATTTCAGACCCAGGCCATTAATAGGAGTGTTATTCTCTGCTTCAGGTTCTCAGATCATGCCCTTCACTATGATGCTGAAGCATTTGCAAGAGGTGTATTATGTGGCAATTATATATGGTTGTATCTCACTCTTCCTCTGTGCAACTCTGTAGTATATACAGAGTGTCTAAGGTTACCTTTCTGCTTCAGGGTTGACTGCATGCAGAAGGAAAGGATATTTGTGTTATTCTCCACAAACCAGAAACAAGCTAGCTCTCTGTCTCAAATAAGAAACCATTCTTTCATTCTGTTTACAATAATTTCATCCGTAAAAGTTGCAATTTTCTAAAGATTTGTTTGTAAAATTGCTTTTTTAAAAAGTTTGCAAAATTAAAGGATGCAGCATGTGTGAAATGCAGAATTCACTATCAAGCTAAAAAGTGCCAGGAAGTAAATAATAATAGTAATAATCCTAGATTATTTCACAGACCATAATGTCAAAATGTTCTACACGTGGGACATTTCTCCTCTATCAGCCCTACTGAAATGAATAGGGGAACAGTTGTCATCTTGTGCAACTTTCAGACATTTAAATAGATTCGAGATAGGAGAAAAACATGAAAAACTGTATCTTGCTTTCCTAGTCTTAGTATTAAAGACTATTTTTCACCATAGACTTTATACTGGAATTCCCCTAACTGACCGGTATTTCACAACTGTCTTTTTGCTGTTTGGAAATGGCTGATGTCCTTTAAAGGAAAAAAAAGATTAGATGGGTCAATAAGACAAGTTCTTAGGCAATAGGTTTGCGTGCTGGTAAAATATAATTCAACTGTCTTGTATTTAGAAAGAAGATTAAGGGAACATAATTACATAGCTGTAACTGAAGAAACTTAGGACACTTTTTTATTTGAGGCAACATTTGAGACATAGCTAACATTTCTGACATTCAAATGTGTGTGGAAGCAGTTATTTAATTTTTTAATGTAAATAATACTTTGAATGGATGAGGAGGTCGTATCTAACTGTCCCTTCTGAATTGCACAACTCTACAGGAGGTGCTGATCAGCAACAAGTGATTACTAAAACAGCAGCCCCAAAGGTACTTAAAACCTGAGAGCCAGATAACATGCAATATTTATTGCTTCAGAGGCATCCATGTGTATGCCAGACTCCATTGGTTGAGAATTCTGAAACACCTCAAAATAGACAGAGGAATCAAGAAACAATTCTGGAGAAACACTTGGGGTCCTTTAAAAGAACTGATAAGCAGAGATAAACAAGATCCAAAAAGCTGAGCCTGGCTTCTCCATTCCTGACCTCCTCCAGCTTTCTCTGCTTCTACCTCTCAAGGAGCCTCCAGAATTCCCAACAGTCAGAACCCAGCTTACACAAAACTGCATGCCACATGATGATATAATACATAACCAGAATCTAAGATAGTGGTCCCCATATACAAACAGAAATGCAAAGCAGAAAAAGTTGCACATATACTGGAATAATCTGAAACCAAATACTTTTACCTGCAGAACTGTATGAATGGCATGTGTAGCTGGAAAAATACCTTCTGTGACTGACAAACAACTTGAAAATCCAACAAAGTGACCAATTTTAAAAGAGTCCATAATTAAAGTAATCACTGCAAACAAAGTAATACCACCTGAAATAAACAGAAAAGGAAAATGTTACTCCAAAGGTGATGGGCTGGATTAAAACCTTGTAATACGAAGAGTAGAGCCCCTGAAATATTTACAATCAATATGACAAGGTGAAGGAGCACCTCTTCCCTTACATGCCCTCATGCCCATTAAGATCTGTGGGAGAGGCTCTGCTCCGGGAACCCTCTTTAAAGGAGATTTAAAAAAACAACTACCCAGAGCAGGGCCTTCTCTGCGGTGGCACCCAGATTATGGAATATGCTCTCTGGAGAGGTGCACCTGGCGCCAAGTTTATATTCTTTTCGGTGCCAGGTTAAAACCTTTTTATTTAATCACTATTTTAAAAACTAATATTTTATCATTGAACAGTTGCTCTTTTGTTTTCAGTTTTTTGTTCTTATGTAATTTTTTGTTGAATTTGTTACTTATAAAGATCAAGTTATTGTTTTTATTTGTATGTATTGTGAGCCGTCCCAAGATGTCAAGGCATGTGGCGATGGCATACAAAAGTTTTAAATAAATAAATAAATAAATTTAGCAAACTCTTCAATTTTTCGTTTCACTGGGAGCTCTCCCAGGTCCTGCATAACTCAGCTTCTCTCTGCTATTGTTGCTTGATGATTCTACAGTGCTTCAGGCTTTGCTCAGTGCAGGCTTTGCTCAATCAGTTTGCATGACAGATTGAATTGTGCAGCATTGCCTTTGTGTCCCATTCCAGGCCAGACTCCCTCTGTGGCACTTCCTTCACCCCTTGCTTTTATATCTATTGGTCAGAAGTTAAAAGTCCTTTCCAGTCCCACCCAGCAGAATTCAAGATATTCAGGAAAGGTGACTGCTGGTCATCATGGAGTGGGATTTGACTCATTAAGTCCACCTTCACTCCTGGAACCATGCGGAAGGCTTTTGTGGAAGATTACATCACAGGCTGTGTTCGTTTTCAGGGCTCAAGGCAATTCAGCTCCTGCAGGTATTTTGAGGGTGCTCTGGGTCTGATCATGTGCAGTCCTTCTCCACATCCAAAACATCTACAGAGGAACAGACAAGGCTCAAAGGAAATGGGGAACAGGAGAGGCTGGCCGATATGCTCAACCAACCTCAACCATGGAACCAGGAACTATGAGATAGGTTCAAGCCTGGTTTTCCCTTTTCTGTCCAAATTCCCTACTTGGCCAGACAATGAACAGCACTAACAACCATGCAAAGCCCTAGGTTAGGTTGGTTTGAAGGGTCAGAGGGCAAGGCTCCCTACTGGAGCACACATGCTCATTAGCTAAACAGGCTAGTCTGCACTATTGACCGAAATAGAGCAATGTGATCATAGAAACAGAGCTGTACATTTTTAGAGTCCCACCACATACTGTTATCAACTGCAGAAACAGATTAACAAAGCTATGGATATTATTTCAATTTTCTGTTCAGGATAACATTTTTATTTCAACCTTTATTTGATGCCTTCATTGTGTCTGTGTAAAAGCTATTGAAGAATATAATTTCCTGATGACTACACAACAAGGGTCAGTTATCCAGTGTTTTATCAGAGAGACACAAGCGGGGTGAAAATATAAAATAAACTTCTGTCAAGAAGGTCAAAATTTGTAAATATAAGCCTGAAAGCAGATGTTTTGACACCAGATATCATAAAAAGTAGTGTAAAGAAAAACCATGTACAAAATTAATGGAATGTTTTCTGCTGTGGTGTTTCTGCTACTTATCATTGCAAAAAACTAAATGTATAAATTCACTGTGTATGATGACTGTGGCAGCTGGTCCCAAATGGAGACAGGTCATTCTCTATTATTAGTGCACACCTACAATAAAGAGTGTTCATTTTTATATGAAACTAGTTGCCTATCTCTCTCACAGTCAGACAATGAACAAGAAGGACTTTTGTTCTGTCTTCAACACTATCACGCTTGGCCTTAAAAATGCTAAGATAACTTTATTATGTAATTAGCACACTCAAAATAATCCTGGGAACAATTGACGGCAAAAGAAGAAGGGGATGGCAGAGGATGAGGTGGCTAGATGGAGTCACTGAAGCAGTCGGTGTGAGCTTAGGTGGACTCTGGGGGATGGTGGAGGACAGGAGAGCATAGAGGAATGTTGTCCATGGGGGAGCGATGGGTTGGACATGACTTTGCTAAACAACAACAACAACACACTCAAAATGCATTTGCATATTCCCCCGTAGCCTGCCATTTGTAGTACTAAAGGAAGAAATACAGAATGTAAAACTTGTCTGGCCTGCTCAGCTTCCTGCATCTGTACCTATTTCCTTCCCCCTGCCCACCCCAAGTAATCGCAGCTTTGGGGCTGAATTACAACAGGGGAAAGGGCAAGAGAGGAGAGCATTAACACCTTCCCTCCCTACAGGACAACATCCTCATGTTCAAAGTACTAATTATTCTGGAAGATCCTAATCATATTTTCCTCCCAGACTTAGTGCTTTTTTTGGTTGTTTTTTGCTTATCTACCACAGCTACCATTCTCAAAAAGCATTTGCAGAAATAACCACCTCCTGCTAAGTTTTGCAATGGACTTCCTTTATTCCTTTTTGAAAGACAGTTCTTATAGTTAAGTGGATGCTCAGTGGTGGTGGGAGATACATAAAAATGCATTCCAAGAACAACCCCTGGAAAAAGTGGGAGCTATCTGAAGGCCAACAGGAGACAGTAGTAATTGGGGGTGCCATCTGGCATGATTAAGTTCTATGAAAACCAAGGCAAGCTAACAAGACAAGATGAGAAGCAAGGGATGTATCCTGAGAGGAAAATGGAATTGGGATCAAGGACATAAATCCAATTTTTAAAAAACTGCAGTTCCTATTTTCTATTTAGTTGCTCATTTAGATGTTTGTTTTAATATACTATTACAACTTACTATGGAAAAATGTATTTTGAAGGGTGGCTTAGATGTCTCAGATAAATCCTGTTAACCCCATTGACAACAGAGAATGATGGGGAATAGCAACAGCTGATCTCAAGTGCCTGGAATGATTGGAGTGGAATGACAGGCATGGGTCTGAAACAATGGCTCTTGACTTTGGAGTCTGAGGAGTGGAAGCCACCATTTATGTGAGCTTTCTTGAGATTGATGTATCAGTGTCAAAACCACACCAGTAGAAAGTGATCATAGTCTAGCCCATCCTGACTACACCAATGGTACTTATTATTTTTGTTTTTGCCTCAGAGTCAGGAGCTTCATCTATAAACATATTTTAATGGCAACTAGGACATGTGCAAATGTCTATTCTTTCTACAAGCCATACATGACTGCCAATTTACTATGAAAGAAGTATTGCTGATTCTCAGAGAAAGACTTTATGATTCCTGTAAACCAATTTTATTACCACATGTACCTCCAAAGAGGAAAGGCTTTACAATATACCCATGCTTTCCTGTACCCAAGCACAACCTTGATTGGTGCTTTGCCAGGTACAGTTGGATATCAAGAGTTCAAATTTCCATCAGGTACTCAGGAACAAGCCATCTGGATCCAATACCATCTGCAGGATTTCAACTACAGATGCTGAAGAAGAAGAAATGAAAATTTCATGCAGGTTCCCAAGAGGAAACTGATAACGCACCAGGCCAAGGCATGCCAATTACCATAGGTAACTGGAACACAGTGTAGGAAATAGCAGAAGCAAATGCTGTGGGAGAATTTGGCTCATGGGCCAGAAACAAAGCAGGAGAATGACTCTCAGAATTCAATGGAGTCAACCATCTTTTATTGCAAATATATACTTCAGGCAACCAATCGGATGACTGTATGCATCAGCATCATTAGATGGCCAACCGAGATGTAATTCAAATCAAATAGGTATGCAATTCAAAGAAAGAGGTAGAGAAGCTAGGATTCTCTCTGCCAAAACAAAACAGCAGAAAACTGCAGTAGTGATCATGAACCACTATCAAAATTCAGAGCAGAGCTGAAAATAGCCAACTATCAGAATTATACTACAAAAATACAATTTAAAGAATTGCTGAGAAATGTAAAAACCACATAAAGAACAAAATTGCATTACTAAACACAAGTGACCATGAACTAGAAGCACTATGGATTGAAACCAGAGACATTACTAGGGAAGAATGCAAAAAGACAATTCCTGTAGTAAAAAGAAAGAAAAGGCCTAGATGGATGGTGGAAGAAACACTCACAAGTGCAAAAGAGAGATGAGAAACTGAAGCAAAAACAAATTCTGAAATAGAGTCAGAATTCTGAATGTAAGTTTTCCGTAATTATCACATACAGACCAAAAGAACTATGATAATGGCCACCACAAATAAATGAAGGAGAACAACAGAGGAAAAACAAGATACCTCCTTCAGAAGATCCAAGAAATCAGTGCAAAATTCAGACCTAGATTGGGAATCCTGAAAAACCAACAAGGGAGCATCAGGAGGAAAATGAAGAGGTGGAAAGAATATACAGAAGAACTATACAGAAGAGATTAAAGGATGGCAGGCTCCCACAAGGAGGAATTCTGGGAGGAAGAACCTGCCATGTTAGAAAGTGTCAAGCTGTGGGAAACACTTGGAAGGAATAAAGCACCGCAGTAGATTGGCTACCAGGAGAACTGTTCCAAGTTGCAGAGAATGAATTGGTTCAAATCTTAACAAGAATATGCCAACAAATATGGAAAACACAACAATAGTCCACAGACAACCAACATACATTCCAACTCCTAAGGAAGGTCTTGCTAAGGAGTGCATCAACTGTAAGACCATTGCAATAATTTTCCATACAAACAAAGAGATGCTCAAGGGGTTGCAACAAAGAATTCTGCCATATAAGGAAACTCTTGACATTCAAGCAGGATTCCAAAAAGGAAGAGGGACTCACCGATATTTGTTGGCTACTGGAATACACCAAAGAATTTCAGAAGAAGACAGGAGAAATTCAGTCCTTGCTTCATAGATTACAGGAAAACTCTTGAGTGTGCGGATCATGAAAAACTATGGATAGTCCTGAAAGAAATGGGTGTGCCTCAGCACTTGAT